CAGCTGCCTGCTCAGTGTGCCAGAACCCATGGGCCCGGTACCGGCACACATCACTCTGTCTCCCTCGGCCCCTCCTGCCGGCCTTCTTCAATAGAAGGCTTCTGTTCAGAGCAATTCCTTTTTAATTTTTCTAATGGAATATGGTCAAGGAGCTTTGGGTCTAGAATTTAGGTTTAATCACAAAAACAGGCTTAAATGAAACCGTGGAAAGCTCACTGTGCCAGCGCGGGCTCAGGCCTGAGATCATTAAGAACATACTGCCAGAGGGCTGGAAACCAGCTCCGCTGCCCAGTTCCCCTGCCCAGGCTCTGTGAAGGCCTGATGTGAGCAGACGCCCCAGACGAACAGGGCGAAGCTCGGAACAGACAGATCAGGGCTCCTTACACTTTGATGCCCCCGGGGAATCACCTGGGGATCTGGTTAAAACGAAGATTCAGATTCAGGAGGTCTGAGGCTTGGGGATAGGAGCCCGATGGCCTGTGGTTACACATTGGGCTGCTAACCACAAGGTGAGCAGTTCAAAACCACCAGTTGCTCCATGAGAAAAAACACGGGCATTTTACTCCCGTCGAGAGTGACAGTCTCAGAAACCCAGCGAGGCAGCTCTACCAGTCCTACAGGGTCACGACGAGTCCGCATCCACTGGATGGCACTCAGTTTGAGTTTGCTCTGGGGGCTCGCGCAGGGGAGGGCCTGAGGCTCTGCATTCCTAACAGGCTGCTGATCCTGCAGGCTCAGGGGCTTCACTGTGAGACACAAGGAACGAGAGCATCTTCCAGGCCTTTCCACTCTGACAGCCCATGTCACCACCGACAGACCCTCCCCTCCTGTACATACAAGGTGGCTGACACACAAAGCCAGGCTGGCAGCTCCGGCGGCACAGCGTGTGATGTAAAACCAGGTGCTGATTCTGACTCGTGGCGACACAAGCCCCGTGTGTCAGAGTAGAACTGGGCTGCGTGGAGTTTTCAGTTGAAGCGGATCATCAAGTCTTTCTTCCAGGCGCCTCTCAGCGAACTTGAACCTCCAACCAAGCATATTAATGAACCATTTGCACTACCGAGGGACCCCCCCGCCTCGCATGTAAACTAGATTCATTACCGTGCAGTTGGTTCTGGCTCAGAACAATGCTAGAGAAGCCCCGTATGTATTAAAAACACACGAAACACGGATTCCAACTCACAGCGACCCTCTGCAGGGTTTCTATACAGCAAATCTTAACAGGAGCTGGAAGTCTCATTTTTCTACAGGACAGGGTAAAACTGCCCTCATAGGGTTTGGAAGGCTGTAAAGTTTGTGGAAGCGGATTGGCACAACTTTCTCCACAGAGCAGCTGGTGGGTTCAAACTCCTGACCTTTGGGTTTGTAGTTGAGCATTTAACCCCTGCACCACCTGCTCCTGCCTCATATAGACCCCTAAACCAAACCACTGCTCTCAAATGGAGTCATCAGTGGGACAGAATAGGACTCCCTTGCCGGGTTTCCAAGGCTGGAAATCTTGGTGGAAGCAGACTGCCATATCTTCTGCTCATGGAGTGGCTGGTGGGTTTAAACCACTGGACTTTCAATTTGGAGCCAAGGGCTTAACCACTGTGCCACCAGGGCTCCTTCCCCCTCATGTAGATCTACGATCTGGAGAACCTCTATGGGGTTTGGAGACTAAACCTCTATGGGAACAGACAGCAAAACAGCCGGTGGCTTTGAAGAGCACCCTGCTCATTCCACAGTGCCCCAAGGCTTCCACCGCCTGCGCAGTGGGTGCTGAACACCCACCCGCAGGTACTGGGTATCTGAACGAGCTGCTCGGCAGACACTGTGAGATGGTGAGACAAAAGAGTGTTCCCTGTCCAGAGACAACTATTCAGCCCAGCCAGGAGTTGCAAGTACTTTTAAGACATTCTCAACTCAGCCACACAGCACCCAGCACACAGCGTTCATATGAAGGAGCTGTTCATGGTCCCCTCTCTGTTTGCCTGCTTTGATTCGAAACCACCCAATTAATCTCTGATCTTGTAGCCTGCTGTTTCCAGAATTTTTCCTGGGCTCAGCGATACTGCTTGTTCGATGCCCTCATCTCTCACAATAGAAGGGCAACATACTTGTCTCTCTCGCACATTATCTCAGTTGGACCCAGGATCTAACCCTGGACTGTCCCCCACTGATCTGAGAACTGCGGCTAGCCCCCCACCCACACTTTCACCCAATCCGTCGAGCAGGGAGGCTCATTGGACGGCATGGTGAATGAAGTACTGGGTTTGGAGGCAAACATTCCGAGTGGAAGCTCGGCGTCTCTACTCATTCTGTGACCTCAGTCAAGTACGGCATCTGCTCTAAACCTTGGTTCGAACCCCTGTAGAGCAGACACCGCCACACCTGTCTCAGCGCGGGGAAGGTTCAGGCAGAGAACACGGTGAGAAGGGCATCAGGCCAGCGAGAGAGCACACGCCTCTCCCTCCCTTTTCCTTTCGTGATGGGAATTCCCAGAGCCTAACCCATCCCAGAGGGCTGACCTCAGCCCTCTATCGGTTTGTTCCCTGAGAACTTTTGAAGTACTTGACATTTTGGCTAAATCTGCGAAATTGTTCAAGTATTACCAACGTGCACTTGAGGTTCCGTGTGCGGCTCACTCTACCGTCTTGAAACAAAATGTCAGCCAATAAATTTCACAAAGGGACACATAACATGGACGATGAATAGACAGCTGTGAAATAAGACGGGAAGGAGAAGGTGCGGAAGCTTCCATGTGCTCCGATGGATGCCTTCAGTTAGGGGCATGCCAGTGTCGACATTTACATAAGGCGAGGCTGGACCGTGTGATTGCTTATGCCTGCCTGGTTTCCGGTCAGTCCTTTAGAGGCTACTCAGGTTTACCAGGTGGCATTAGGAGGAAAGGAAGGGTGGGAAGGGGCAGAAGGCACCTGACCAGATTAGATTGAACTCTCTCAATGACTGTGAGGTAGGTGCTAGACACCGAATTTTATGAGTGACAGAACTGAAACTCAAAAAGACTAGAATAACCTATCCAAGATCCCACAGATGGGAACTGGGATTCACTCCCGGCCCTGTCCAAAGCCAAGCCCATGAGGGTCTTCATGTTCCACAGGTTTCAGTGGATTCTACCATTTATAGAGCTTCAAGTTAGGCAGAGCTCAATAGAAAGGATGTGTAGGATAGCTTCAAAAGTCCATATACTATATATCCACTTGCTTACAGGAGCTGATGGTCTCAATTCCTGCTGCTTCCCTGGCTGCCTTGTATACGCACAGCTCTACATGGTAATGGCTCTCAGTAGCTTGTATAGGGGAGGGTAGTGATAGGAGAATGTATATCAACATCACTTGGGGGCCATTCCAAATCCTCTCCACAATCACAACCAGCTCCCCGCGCCCCCTACCCCCAACTCCTGATAGAAGCACGTCCAACAGGGGAAGGGTCCAAAGGCAAACATCCTTTAAATCCACATCTAGGTTACCTTTCTGAAAGCCAAACCCCTCTCCCTGCATACCAAAGCCAGGCCTCGGCAGCCTTTCACAGTGATCTAGGCTGGCCCAGAGTGCAGGGGTCAGTGAGAACCACAGATCATTTGAAAGCCATCTCGTCCAGTCCCTTCTGCTACTTTGTGCAGCAAACTTTTCTCCTGGGCCATGAACCAAGAGCAAAATGAATTCATTGAGTGGTTCCCTGGCTCCCTTCTCCTTCCCACTTCAAGTAGACGTGTCAGTCAGCACAGAGACGCCCCAAGGCAAGACACAGAAGAGAGAGGGATCCAACGGCCTAAGGAAAGAGTCCATCCAAGTGATCAACACCCTTACTAATCCAACAGCCCCTTCGTAATTATGGATAGACTAGTGATCAGCGATTACTGGACGGATTGCAGGTTTGTTTTGTTTTTTTCTCTGAACCTTGAGAGTGCCCACCAGAAGCTGTTGAACACTCAGTGCTGCCTTGGATGGCCCCACTACCCTGACCGTGCCTGCCTGAAGCTACACAAAGGGGCTCTCCCTCTCCTGCATACCGACTGGCATGCCAATCCCATAGCCCTTGGTGTCCAGCAGGCCCCCAATCTGAGTGAGGTTGCAGTTTCGCTGCCGATAGTACTCATTCATGGTGGACTCCAGGAGGAAGGCATAGTTGGAGTTCAACACCCTGGCGATCCCCTCCTCTGTGCTCTTCACAAACACACTCGGCTGCTTGGAATACATGTAATTCCACATGCGCTGGTAGGTCTGGTAGCGGGAATTCTGGGAAGAGAACAAAAGGAAGCGAGAGTGGGAAACAGGCAAGGACGTGCTGGTTTATGAAAAGAAGGCATCAAGGCGAGTCTTGAAACCCTAGTCCTCCAGCTACTCAACCCATTTGTGATGTTTCATGTGATGTTTCTTTCCTACTCTCAGCTGGAGCTGCTTCCTGGGGTCATGTGAGCGCATGCACGACCGCAGGAGCAGCGGGGAGCTAAACGTTTAATGCAGCTTTCCGAGAGACGGAGCAGCAGCAAGGCCCTCAGGCCCTGTAACCTTGGCCTCCTGGTTTGATCCCTTGCGCTCTTGCTTCCTCTACCCTACAGAGGTCTCCCACGGCCCACCGCCCTGTCTTGAGACAAGGAAGAACTGACAGGAGGGTTGTGGTCTTGTCATGGAGCTTCAGGTCAGCACTTTCCGAGTGTTATCATCTGAAGGAGCAATACGAGCTTTGGTTGTTGTTGTTGTTGTTGTTGTTGTTAACTAACAGTCTTAAACCATTTTATCCATGACACATACAATGGAAATGCAGAACCAAACCCACAGCCATGGAGTCCGTTCCAATTCCCTAGGACACTGTAGGGACAGGGTAGAACTGCCCCAGGGGGATTCTGAGCCCAGAAATCTTCATGGAACCAGACGGTCACGTCGCCCTCCCAAGGAATGGCTGCTTGCGCTTGAGCCCTCCATGTTTGGATGAGTGGCCGAGTGCTTCAACCATTGTATCACCAGGGGTCCTGCCACATGCAACACTAGCTTCCATCGGGTAATACTAAGAGCTAGACAGTTCTGGACAGGTCTTTCCAAAGCCAGTGTTTGGACCATCTCGGTGCCAATTGGTACTGAAACTTACACGGCAAACAGGAAATTGAAGTCTTGGGCATGTTTCACGTGAAAATGCACTCCTTGGGCAATAATTGGTTCATTTAAAAAATATGGTGAATGAAGTGAAAGTGTACGGAGCAGACATGGGTTCTTGAGAGTGTCCCCTAACGTCATTAAAAGTGAGATTTGTTCGCTAGAGATTTGAAGGATATGAAACTATTTATCTCTCTGCCCTGTCTCTGTTGGTCTTAGAAATCAATCAATCAACAATCAATCAGTCAACACACCATGTGACGGTGCCTTCTCTGGAGCCATACAGAGAAGCCAACAGGACCTCTACCTGAGATCTAGCAAGTCTGCCGTCAGTGAGATCAAGCGATCTTCATCTAATCTTCCTCACATGTCAATCATGTGTGTACTGCTTTAATCTGAATGCCACCTATAAGATATGACTCAGTTTTCAAAATTTAAATGAATATATTAATCACATCCCATAAAGTAATATGAGTGAAGTTACAGATTTGAATAAATAAATACACAAATGTATGTATGTTTATATGTATCTATATATGTGTAGATTGTATGAGGAGGCTTCAAAAAGTTTGTGGAAACATTTCAACGTCAAAAACCAAACTCACAGCCATCGAGTAGATGCCAACTCACAGTGACCCTATAGGACAGGGTAGAACTGCCGCTGTGGGGTTCTGAGACTGTAATTGTTTAGGGGAGTAGAAAGCCCTGTCTTTCCCCTGTGGAGCGTCTGGTGGGTTCAAACTGCTAACCTTATGGGTAGCCGTCAACATGTAACCACAACTCAACCAGAGTTCCCGGAAAACTGCCCTTACTTTTTAATTACACATACACAGCCTAGAAAAACAAATACAAAACTGGTGCAATTAAACAATGTTCTGCCATGTTGGACCCAAAGTCACCTCGAGTGTCACACGTGTTTTATGCACACGGCTTGGGGTGTCCCTTTAGGGATTGTGCCGGGGCTAGTTTGTGGGGCAGGAGATACGTGAACACGGACAAACGGGATGTCCGAAAGAGGTAACGATGGGCATACGTCTCGGCTTGATTCTGCTCAGTGGCCAACGTTTGCGAGTAACCGGGGGGCTTTACTTGGAAGAAAGTCATGCTGGAGCCTCCGTGGATGGTGCCGTACTCAATGGCAGTCTGGTCAGCCAGGTCGTCTACGGACTCGATGGGCACGTCCATGCGCTGCACGGTCAGGAAAGCCGCCAGGTTGGCCGTGTAGGAGGAGATGATGATGAGTGTGAATGCCCACCTGTGCAGGAAAAGACAGGGCAGTCATCTCGGCCAGGCCACTCCCAGGAGGCGTAGCCTCTTCCCCAGCCCATCTGAGAGACCAGGAGTTCTTCTGAAGGACCCCTCAGAGAAGGGGCAGGGATGGTGGGGGTTGGGGGGGCGGCGGCGAGCGGAAGAAGGACATCTGGCGTCAACAGAAATGACCAGGGTTTGTGAAGGTTGCCAGAAAGAGGATAGTTTTTTGTTTGGAATTCTGAATGTGTGTATGTTTTAATTTTCTAAATCAACTGCCATCGAGGCAATCTGAACTTGTAGCAAGGCTTTACATCTTTATGGGAGCAGACAGCCTCATCTTTCTCCCATGGAAAGGCTGGTGGGTTTGAACCACCGACCTTGAAGTTAGCACCAACATTTACTCAATATCTTTGAGGTAAGTATTCAATAAAGGCTAGTGCAGGCCTGAGACAACTTGAGAGCCTATGATATGCACTAGGAAGTGGCCCAAAGGTGCCATCTCTGAGAGCCCTGTGAAAAGCTCCAGGTGGGATGGGCCACTCCATCTCTTCATGAGGAAGCCCACCTTCTGAGGAGAACGGCCACAGAGTAATGTCTCCCAGAATCCCTGCCACTCAGTGAGGCAGAATTCTTCTCCCAGGTTTAGTGGGAGCAAACGGAGGCTCAGAGATGTGAAGTAAGTGGCCAAGTAAGACCTTGACACACTCATATTTTCAGAACAGGTCGGCAAACCTGAACACCGGGTGCTCATTAATTAAGAACACCTGGTGAAAGGTACCTTTGAACTCCCCAAGGGTTGGATTAGAACATACTCTTATGATGGTCATGGCATTTCAAAATAAAACGCGGCTGCATTGGCAGGCAGACCTCACTTACACTGGAAAACAGTTCCCCCTCCCCCCACTCAGACAGCATATCATGCTACAGTTTGTTGCAAACAATTTGCTCACTAAGCCTTCTGCCATCTGGTCAACAGGAAGGACTTGCATTCCAATCCTTTTCTCGATACTTCTATATCTATGAATATCGAGACAACGTCATATATATGTGAAACCTGAACCTGCTCCAGGGTACCTAACCGCAGCGTGTATATAAACGTAAGCCCAATTTAGGGTGGCTCACCACACAATCTGCATCAAGGGTCTGTGAGGCCTCACTCATTCTGAAGGCCCTGCCACCTGGTGCGCCGTGTTTGCCTCAGGGATCAGCAGCCAGCAGCTTCCAAGCACATCTTCCAGAAGCAGGAAGGTCGCCTTTGTAGCCACTGTAGCCCCAACCTGCGGGTGGCTGCTCCCCCGTGGTGAAGTGGCGGGGCATCCACCAGTTCAGCGACACCTCCAGAACTGTGCGCCGGACCATCAACAAGGCCATCGGGTTCTGCCTTTGGGCTTTGCCACGTTCCACCCGGAGGGGAAGTGAGCCCTCTCCTCTGGGCCCATTTATTGGACTGGTAAGAGGGGATAGTGATGCCTGCTCTATCTTCTGAAGGTTGGGAGATCAAACGAGGTGGTGTGTCCTTGTTGGGCTTCGGTGCCGTCTTGGCAGGTCCTCGTGACCCTACTATGTACAACTGGGTGAACCACTGCCTGGTTCGGCGCCATCCGCACGATCACTGTTTGAGCTCGTTGGAGCAGCCACTGTGTCAGTCCATCTTGCGGAGGGCCTTCCTCCTTTGTGTTTTTGCATCTAGACAGGTGAGATGGCGTTGACGATGAATAATTTGTAAAGCGCGGTGCGAGTGTGAGCTATAAGAGATTTCTGGAAAGACCCTCAAGGTGAGTACCTGGCTGAATCGATTGCTGGGCCACTTCTTGCTGCATCCCTGCTGGTGACGTAGAATTGCCATGTGCCCCTTTCTGTTAAGACGTGCGTTCCCTGTCCCGCGTCAGCTCTTCCCCTCCACTTGGAAGTTGTTGCTGTGCCCAGGCCCGGAGGTGGGGCCGGAGGGCGCGACCCCCAGGAGGAGGTCAGCGTTCTGAAGTTGGAAGCTCCCTTGGTAAGTGTCTTGTGTACAGGAGTGCTGGGTGTGGGCATGGCCCGAGAGCTGGCTGAGGCAGGTCCCTCAGCTCCGTGGCGGTCTGTGCCACTGCGTACATCAGAGGGGGAAATCCACTGAGGACAAGCTCACTCCTTCTGCTGAGGAACCAAATGGCACCCAGGCTCTTTCAGAGTGGTCAGCGTAGGGTAGCCTTGCTCCTGGGAGAAAGGGGTGTTCTCAGCAGTAAAACCGGTGTTCTTGTTTGTGATGGGACTTCCCCCCTCTCTTTGTCTGAGCGAGGAGGCCAAGGCAGGCCATGGTAGGCCTGTCTTCAGTTGCCCACTCCCCCAGGAACTGCCAAGACCAAGGCTCTGACAGGGTAATCAAGAGGTGTGAGGGGTAGAGGACACAGTACCAGCGTGGCTCAGGGAATTCTTGTGGGCTCCAGGGGTGGGTCCTCATTTGTACCCAACCACACGCCCACAGAGGCACTGGCGTCCATTTCCAAACTCACTGGCCTGGAGTCAATTCCCCTTCCTGGCGGCCCTAAGAAGGCTTTCTGAGGAGATAAACCTTTATGTAGGCAGACCATCCCATGTCTGCTGTGGAGTGGAGAGTGGGTTTGATCAGCTGACCTTGTGGTTAGCAGTGCGGCTCTTCACCCCACTCTACCACCAGCACACTTTCGGGTGGCTCACAGTGGCCTAAAGGTAACACTCAGCTCATGCTTGTGATGGACTAGGTAGTGTCTTCTGGAAAATACCGAGCAGTCTAAGCCTGTACTTGCTTACGTGACTTGTTTTGAAATAAGGTCTTTGAGGTGCTATCAGTTAGGTTAACATGAGGCCATTCGCAGAGGGGGGGGCTCCTACTCTTGTCTGAGCAGTGTCATATGAAGGGACAGAACAGACACGGGTGGACACGGGGAGATGGCATGTGAAGACGCATCGGAAAGTCATGGAACAGCATTCCCGGGAGCCAGCAGAAGCCAGGAAGGAGGGGCTCACGGAGGAGTTTCTCTGTTAGGGCTTCAGAAGGCATCCCCACGGCCAGTGCCCTTCCCAAGTTGGGTCCTCTCTTTCTCTAGACCACAGAGGCAGAGGAAGGGAAGAGGGATGAGGTAGCCAAAGGGGCTCCCACCCACTGCCCCCAAACCTCCCTCAGAGGCAGCCCAGCTCCCCACTAGAGACAACTTCAAAGGGATGAGGCTATAGGGTCTCCCACGGGGCCCCTGTGGTGCTGCCAACAGCTGTGGGGGCTTGTCCCAGGATGTCCCTTGCATCCTTGCCCTGTCGCCTGGCCCCATGTCTGCCAGAGATCTTACCAGACGCCACTGACACAGCGCGTAGACAAGGCTCGGGGGGCGATGGTGGAGCCCTGCTGCATAAAGCCCCCAACTGGAAACCAGAGGCTGTTGCCGAGGGAGTACTGGTTCACCAGAAGCTTGCACCGGCCCTGGGCACATGGGTGCGGGCTGTACCACTCATAGGGGGTCAACCTGCAGGAGACAGGGAACGTGTGCCACTTCCAGCAAGGAGGACCCTGAGAGAGAGGGTATGGGGAGCGGAAGGGTGGTTCTTCTCACGCCTCCTCCCCTGCTGCATAGCCTTGGGCACTTGGAGCTCTTCTACTGGAAGGTGGAGTACCAAGAACAAGGACTGGGGGCCCAGTTTGTTCTGCTCCCCCTGGCCACTCCCCCAGGTGATCACGCAGGACCCTAAGGCCCCACTTAGAACCTCAATAACAGTGATCCTCAGACTACGTCAGGATTTCCAAGAAGGTTAGTTAGAGCATCATTTGCTGGGCCTCCCCCTGAGGTTCTGATTCAGGAAGAATGGAGGGAGGGCTGAGTCTCTACATTCTTTCCCAGGAGATGCTGATGCCTCTGGTCCAGCGTTCCCTAAGGCAAAGAGTCTTGGCCCTATCTGCTCCTCCCACTCACCTGGGGAACCTTGTAGGTAGTGCCAATGCCTGGACCCCACTCCCCAGGATTGGGATTTCCTGTCCTGAGGGGGGCCCAGGCAGCCTCCTCGCTCCAGCCCTCCAGGAGGGCCTGGGGGGCAGCCAGGTTGCCAAGGCCCTTCCCTCCTCTGACCCCCTGGGCTGAGCCATGCACCTCTCTCTGAGCAGTTCCTTTGGGCCTGGAACGGCCTTTCCTTCCTGCCTGCCCTGTGCTCACTTCTCTGCTAGATGGCCCACCACCCATGCAAGCCTTCCCACTGAGGAGAGAAGAAGTGCATGGTGTGCGGTGACGAGGTCCGGCATGTTCACGGGTGTTATCCTCCTGGTTGGTGCGCCCAGTCCCTCACTGGGTCCCTCGTTCCCTCCCCCTCCCCTGCATGCTGCCCATTCCTACACAGCCGTGAACCATCCGTGCGTCCCGGGGCACTGGCTCACTCTCAGCGGAGACTGTTGGGACAACCATTCTCTAGCACTACCCGCAGAGATTCTGAGACCCATAGGGTTGCGGGGCCCAAGCTTGTAAAAGCTCCTATGGGACTCTGCTGCCTCCCCTGGTTTGGGAATGGCGGCCCGAGATGAGGGCTGTTCGAACACTGCCCCTCTGAACAGAAGCAGAGCTGGTCTGGAGGTGAGGGGGTGGGATGCTAGATCTCTGGCTTCTCAGCCTCTTCTCGCCCCACCCAAGTCTCTCTTCCCTCCAGGAACCTACATGCTCCGGGGACCCTGTCTGAAAACACCCACCTCAGGTCAGACTCCCCTCAGCTCAAAAGGGCAGCACCCTTGGGTGGCACGGTTAGACCTTCACTACATCCTCTTTGGCAATACCTGCTCTCTGGGCTGTGTGCAAATGGGTAGAGGGCAGGGAAGAGGGGCTGTTGACCCCTTAGGGCTGGCTAAAAATGCTTTAGGCTTCCACTGGCACAGTGACACAGGTGCGCGCGCGTGTGCGTGTGTGTGTGTGTGTGTGTGTGTGTGTGTGTGTGTGTGTGTAGCTGTGTTTCAGGGCCTTGAGGTCAATGGAAAGCTGTGGCATGCTCCTTTCAGGGCCCCACTCCAAGGGGACAAGAGTGAGTTATCATGGAGCATTGGAGTCAGGGCTAAGGGAGACAGTGTCTGTCCGCACAGTGGCAGCAGCCAGGGCAATGAAGCGTCAGACAGTGTGTTAGCTCCCTCACATCTCAGCAGTTGTCACTGACAACAGCTACTTGATGGTGACAATGCCTAGGGGCCCGAGGGGAATAGGTGACAGTGAGCAGTACTCGCTAGAAGCCAGGCCTGTCTCTGGCTGCATTGTGTGCGGTCAGAATGACGTTCCCCATCCCACCTGGGATGGACAGAGGCTGGGTGGGGCAAAGCCTAAGGCCTGCTCAGCAAGCTGGGAATGGCTGGGGGCTGAGTCCTCCCATGGATCCTTAGGGCCCAGGGTAAGGCTGCTCTGTCTTATCGCTGCAGAGAGCTCTGGAGCCACAGAATGTAAAGCCTGTGGGTCAGATCTGGTCCCCCAGAGGCGGAATGTGCACTGTAGAATCACCCACGGCCTGCCACTGTGGCCAGAGGCACAGTAGGTGTCTGAGGAGAGACCTGAGACAGAGCCATAGCCGGACTTTTAGAAGCTTATCCTGAGCTGCTGTTTTCTGCTCCAAAGTAACTGCCCTCTGGGCCTCTGTTACAGGGAGCTGCGTGCTGAGAGGGAGGCAGGGCTCTCGGGGAGTGAGGGGATGGGGAGCCAGCAGGGCATGCTGTCCCATCTGTGGCAAGGAGCCTTGCTCCTGAAGCCAGGCTGGTCCACTCTCGGGAGGGCGGGAGGGAGGCACAATCAGGGGATGATCCACGGCCCTGGGGGGCGGCCCTGGTTTATTCTCCCAGAACCCTTCTCTGACGGCCAGTCTCCACTCCACTCCACTTGCAAAGGCCTCTCTGCACTCTTCCCTCTTGCGCCCCCCCGGTCCCCCTCCAGAGTGCCCCTCCAATGAGGGCAGCTGTGTTTTCCCAGGCAGATCCAGGCTGCGAGAGGCCAGGAGGCCTCCTCCCTCACGGTGTTACTGCGGCCTCCGGTGCCCCCCTTCCACATCTGCAGCTCCGGTTCTTGTCATTCCGCACTTTGTGGCTGACCCTGGCAAAGACTGGTGCCAGCATCGGCAGATGCATAGTGCTCCATCAAAACCCCCTTCCTGCCACCTCCCCTTCCCCCTGAGCTCTGCCAGAAGCAGGGGGCTGGAGGCAGGGAGTGGGGGTGCAAGAGGCCGCTCACCTGTCTGCTCATTAGGTAGCATGTGTGGAGACGGCTGCATGGGTAGTGTGGGGCTGACAGCTGGGCAGAGAGGAGGTCAGGCCCCTGGTCCCTCTGCCATCCCTCTAGTTTGGCACCAAGTCTCCTCCTCCTCCACCCTCTCCATGCAGTTCCCCGGGCCAGACACTAGGTGGCGACGTGAGGACAGGAACAGGACCGGGCGAGGCACGTACCTAGCCACTAGGAAGAGGACACAGCTGACAGCCAGATAGGCTAGAAGCATGAAGAGCCAGACGCCTGGAGAAAAGGGGTCCAGGAAGGAGAAATAGCCGGGCTTGCGTCCCTGGAAATGGAGATAAAAAACAAATGTCACCACACAGAACCCGTCCAAACGGCCCTTGGGTAGAGCAGGACAGTGGGTAGGACGCGTGTGGGCATGCCCCAAGAGGCCGTATTTTTTTCGGGTGCTTCTCGGTAATTGGTTTACATGACATTGAAGGTGGGAAGGGGCCAGCTCTGGCCAACCCTGACCTCAAGCAGATAAAATGGAAGCACAGCCTGGGCCTCAACCCTTCTTGGGTAGAGGGAGGTGCTGTGCTGGGGCGTCAAAACAGCCCCCAGTGCTTCTTAGTCCTGCCATGCTCACTCCTCCCTGCCCCTCCCCCCAACCGAGCTGGAGTCTGACAGCAGCACCTTTCTTGGACACTCAGGTCCTTCTCGCCTGCGAGGATCCCTGGACTTCCCTGGTTTTGAGTTTACACGGCGAGGTTTCACCCACAGAGAAACCTCCGGTACGACACCCAGCGATCCCTGGAAGCAAGGCTCATGAGGAAGCAGCCCAGGGACCTGCCCAAGGTTACACAGCTTGCACGAGAAAGAGTCGGGCCTGAGATGCACATCCTCTGAGGATGCCCAGCCCAAGGCTCGGACCATTACACTGCAGGAAAACATGATCTGTCCCCAGCCCCGACACGTGTGAGCCAGCGTCATGTGAGCCAGCGGAGGGAGCCGGGAATAGGTTCCCTGGAAGGCAAGCTCCCAGTCATTTGCAGCAGGAAACTAAATGAGTCGGATGGAGTGAAATAATCTGCTCTCAATCCTTAACGGTGTGCTCTGGAGAAGCCCCACCCCTCTCTGGCCCCTCTTGGAGCTGGACTCCTCAGAAGTGACGCCCTGGTGGCCTGGGCACTGTGGGCAGCCCCCCATGGGTCTTGTTCATGTCGCAGTGTTTGCCTTTGCTGCCAGCCTTGCATGATGAGGGAGCTTCCTCATCAAGATTCAGATTTCAGACTTAAACGTATTTTCTTAATGGGGTGATCTGGCACCACTGGGCCTCATTCCCACACAGACACACTGGCAAGGCAGAGTGGCAGCTGCCCACTGGAGAGAGGGCGTGCACACTCCAGGTCCCTGCTGCTACCACACTGGCTTCTTTCACTTCCTGTGAAACCATAGGAATAGATGTTCCCTAAGGACTGTCCTAAACGGAAAACTGAGATGATCCTAAGACTCTGGGGTTCCGGGAAGTCCGTGGATAGGGCTGGAACTCAACAATACGCTCTCAGGTTCTCTGAACAGGTAAACTTTGAAGTTCAAGGTCATGTCGGTCATGGTGCAAACTACCGTCATGATATGGTTCTATGTCAAGATCTGTCGCTCTCAAACAGGTCCCCCAGAAACACAAAGGGGAACTCGCTCTACGCCAAGATGGAACCAGTCTACCAGCTCCTGGGCTTCCTTCCTCACAGGGTGCTTGGCCTTGGAGAAGATGCTGCGAAGTTCCACATATCAATAGCTGCTCACAGGCACTGAGGATCACAATCCCTGGGGGCTTTCAGCTTCTCTTCCGGGGGCTCTTCCATTGCTTCTCTGGGAGCTAGCCTCGGCTGGAGCAGGCACGTGCCTGACCCACTGCAGAGGGCAGTTTTGGGACCATCGCACAGAGAGTGCACAGAGATCAACAAGCAGCGCCCTCTCTCCCAGTGGGGGAACTCTGCTGGCACAGTGGAGTATCCTAACTGCTAACTGCGAGGGCAGTCATCCGAATCCAGCAGCTGCTCCTCTGGAGAAAGACGAGGCTGTCTCCTCCAGAAAGACGGATGTCCCACAACCACCGCCCTTCTACCCTGTCCCACACGGCTGCTTGGAGTCAAAATGGACTTGACAAGCAGTTGTTTTCTTGGCTCTGTCAGTGGGGCAACTGCTCTTCTTGAGCAGTGTGGCAATGACCTTGAGGGTGGTCTTTCCGAAGCTGCTCTCTGCCGGGATGTCGTAGATCAGGGAGGGGCCTCTGAAGCTAACTGTGAGTTCTGCAACTCATGACACCTCCATGCTTGGTCTGCCTGGAAGACTCACGTGATTCGTTTGGAAGACGAAAATAACTTTGGCAAAGTCAGTAACGAAGGGGAAGGATGGGGCCCAGGCCATCTGAACACATTTTGGGCCATTGCAAAGGAGCCCTGGTGATGTAGTGGGTTACATGTTGGGCTGCTAACCGCAAGGTCAGCTGTTCAAAACTACCAGCTACGCTACTGGACAAAGAGACAGATTTCTACTCCCCTGAAGATTTAAAATTTTGGAAATCCGCAGGGGCAATTGTACTCTGTCCTGTGGACGCACTATGAGTCAGAATTGACTTGCTGGCAGTGGGTTTGGTCCACTGCTCTGCCAAGTTTCTAACAGGAAGCCCAGGTCTCAAGAGCAGGCGAATAAGAGTCCCCCGGGTTAGCCATTCCCCTGGCTGTTAGGGGCTGATTTCCTTCATCTCCCACAGAGTCGGTGGCAGATTTAGCAAGGGCAATGGCTCGGCAGAACAAGCACACATGTTATCGACGGGAGAGAGGAGCTGCTCATGCCTGCATCCGACTGAAGCAAAAGCACGAACCCACTCCACCCTGGGTCCTTCTGAAGTGCAGGCGCCCAGACAGACAGACGTGTGCTCCCGACGCTCTATCACTTTCCTGTGTCTCAACAGAGAGCCAGGAGGGGAAAATTATACATTTTATTGTTGCTTTCTGAATCTGAAACCCCATTAGATGCTCAATGTCAGAAATCTATCCCTGATTATATCACAAGGAGCGAAATTGAGGAAGATGACAGCACTGTTTAAAACTGCCATATTTGGTTAGGGGTGATAAGAAATGATGCACAGCCGTGGGAAACATTCCTGAGCCTCAAGTTCTTACACATGGAGCATCACACAAACAAGGGCCACGATGCAAACACGGCTCTGCCGGAAATGCCTCCGTCACGTGGGCAAGGCAACCTCTGACTCCACCCGTGGCTGACTGACGCCAACCAGAAGATGGGCAGTCCTCTTATACAGCCTTGGCTCGGTCTGAGCCCAAGATGTGTGGATGATGCCGATGAGAAGTATGTTATTTTTAAGATGTTGAACGCCTACCTCCAACCCCCATTTTTACTTTTTAAAACACAGACACTTTAGATTCTTTCCCAAAAGACATCTGAGTTACTGGGGTTTGGGGACAAATCACAGGCACCCCCTCCCCCACCCCCACCCTTAACCCAAAGGATGTATGACGTGGTGCTTTCTTCAGGAGAACTCAACATGCTGCACCAGTCCTCGTGATTTCAATGCTGGTTCTACATATTGACGGATGGAAGCACCGAGACCAGGGAGGCTAAGTGCCTCGCTCTCATCACTGGCGATGGCTTCCATCTCTCTGGTGCTCGTTCGCACGTTGAGCTGCGCCATAGGCAGGTCACGGTCTCACTCCGGTGCCAGGTGCCCCCCAGCTTCTTCTCCTTTTTCTCTTTGCAACTTGCTCCAAAGAGCGTCCTACTCAGCCCGTCTTCTCCCCAATGCCAGCAGAAGCCCAGCCTACGCTCGCTTTCCCCTTTAAAAGCACTGGAAGCATTGTTTATTTATACCTCTTATCGCTTACTGCTTTCCCGTTGTATTTATGGCACTTGTATTGATTTATGCGTGTCGGTGTCGCTGGTAAGCCTGGCCAGTGCCTTCTGGTGCACACAGCCACGCTGGAAGCAGAGAACTGGATATATATATATATATATTCAAATATATATATATTTGATGCCTCACAGGTCTAGAATATGTCAAAGCCCTGCAGATGGAACTGAAAATTAGATAGCACCCAGAGCAGAACCGGTGCTCCTGACTTCTGCTCTGTCCTTGTGATTGACCTCGTGACCCAGCATCCTGGGCACTCTCTGAAGGGGGAAGAGACCCCAAAGGCTGACCATCCACCTTCCCAGTGGGCAGAAGCTCTGGAAAGCAGAGCCGTGGAAGCACTCAGGGCACTACAACCTGGCACGGTATCCCCCTTGCCCAGGGAAGCACCCCCTCACCCCTAACATATGGGCACATTTGTAGATGGTCGATACTTCTTTCTATGGGCACCGTGGGAGGGGCCATCGCAGCAGAATGTGATTGCTTTCCTAGTGCCTGGAGGCAAAGGGGTGAGGATGTCTCCCGGGACAAGGTAGTGATTTAACACCCTGACTCCAAATCCAGAAGTCCTCCAGGGAATCCTGGCTCTCCCACTTGTACAGCACGTGACCCTGGGCAGGTTACTTGACTTCTGTGTGCTTCTGTTTCCTCTTTGGCACCATGGGGATAATAACCAAGCCTACTCATGGGATTGTTTGGAGAATGGAGCCAATGCGTGTCCAGGGGCAGAGCCCTAGCACACAGTAAGGGGGGCACATGTGTGTGTTTCCTCTGTGTAAGGAGAGCTATGGGTGCGGTGGGGGAGGAGGGGGTGACAGAGGAGGGACGTTCTTCTCTTGATGGCTAGCTCCATGGACAGACATACTGTTTTCTGTCCTGTGGTGACCCGTGCTAAAGATGCTTGCTGTGAGAATGCCATCTGGCTATAACTCCACCCTAAAACTCCCGGGGTTTCTGCGTGTTACTGTTTGTGGAGCAATACGGGGAATGTCAGGCTCTCTTCTGAAAGGAGGGATCTTAGAGCAAGCAATTCCAACTTTTGGAACTCAGCTTTATCTCAGCCTTCCCATAGAAGACAGACTGCATGGGATAGGTGGCAGGTTCGCCCAGCTCGGGCGCAGAAGGGCTGCATAGCTTGATGTTGTCTCCCACGTGGACTGTTTGTCATCAGCTCCCTTCTTCCCTGCTACCCCCCTTGTCCCCAGCGGAGCCTATGGCCGCTTTGAACTCGCCATGCCCTCCTTGTAGAGACAGGTTCCTTGTTGCATATTCAAGACCGCGGTCAGTCATCAAGAGAAACTCTCTAGGGCTGAAGGGATGAAATAACACAGCCTCCACGACTCCTTCTGGGAGCGGGAGAAGGGGATTTCTTCTTGTCCCCCCAGGAGTCCACGGGCAGCCTCCTTCATTGT